AAAGCTCTGCTTTTACTGAGCTGCTCACATTTACATCTTAATCCTCTGAGTTCCAGTAGAAGCAGTACGGGTGTGCTTGGGGTTTCTGCAGGACTGCAGAATCCTTTACTAGCCGTGTCAGTCTGCACTTCAAACTGTTAACAGGAAACAGGAAGTCAGCCTGTTCCAACGATAGAAGGCCCCAGGCTGGCAAACTGCCAATTGTAAAATAATCTGCCACATCAGCCAAATTCATGGATAGCTCAGCACTCCAAGTGTCGTGTTTAATTATCCAATCTTTGACCCTTCACTTACTTTGTGTTCGTCAGTCGGGCCTTCTGTAAAAAATGTTAAGCACCCTTTAATTACAGCAGAGTGAGCTGAATTAAACATGTCTCAGAGGAAAGTACTTAACCACCGTTTTAATCCAAATCTCATTTTTTGCTCCCAAAAATTACAGAAGTCGTGATCTTACTGACGGAAACCCCTCAAAAAGGAAGATTTGTGTAGAACATAGTCTGTTAGTAGGAGTTACAAAAGTAAAATGCATTTGGTTTGTATCAAAGAAATTAAGGCAGACTTTGTTGGAGATTTTCTTGCATGTAAAATATTCTGGGGGCACATCAGAGAGGTCTTGGTCTTCCACCAAAGTTAAATCACCAATGATATAAATCTGTTTGACCATTTGTAAGATTTTTAAACAGGGTTTCATTCACATAAGCGTAAAATACTTGTTTTAGTTTTTCATGGTTATGTATATTATTTCTTCCCAGAAATAAGAGGAAAGTGACTGCTGCTAAATAAGGTAAAACGCTGCTTTAACTACATGCAGACCGATCATGCTTCACTCCCCAAGCTCGCTTTTCTGAGCCAGAAAAATCCCTCCTCACAGCTGGCCACAGGCATGCCTTGAGTTAGCTTTAATCATGCCCAACGTGGTCTGGGGATAGCGTCACTCTCTCTGGAAACAAGGCTAGTCATGATGCCACACATTTCATTAATTGTAATGAAAAGTGGCTCCACTGCAGAGTCTGTCGTCATGTAGTAGCCCTGTGATGTTCACGGCGACAATCTAAACGAGAAGAAAGGAACGCAATCAGACGGCAGCCTCGGTGACAGAGGCAACGGGTTAAAAAAAGTCTTTTTCAAGGTTTTTCATCTCTTCTAGTTACGGCTGCTGCAGAAAGAAAACGAACGACCTTCCCTACAGTCCACACATGAATAGATTCCTTCATCTGAGCAAGCACTGCAGTAGGTAAAAGTGGAATATAAATGAGCAAAAAGCTGAAAATGTGTCTGAGGTTTAAATGAATTCATCCTGTGAGATTATTTCTTCCCCTTGTTTGCATATTTTCAGGCACTAGTTTCTAGTACATCTGGCAGTGTTCCCACACACGTCTCAGAAACAAATC